ACCGCGTGTTGCAATTTCCGTCCGAGGTACGCAGGCGGTAAATCTTACCTCTCTGCTCATCGTAACGTACGTAATGAATGATTGTAAGCGATTTTACGTCTAGCCTATCACTCGAAATCACGGACCATCATCTTATGGTCTGATGGCTGTATTACAGCGACAGCGTCTACATAAATCATCGCGTCGTCGATATCGTTCGCGTTCGGGGACCACCGTAGGCAGTGGCGTCGTTTTGGATTCCACGCGTAGGTGGCTGCGCTATAACTCGTGCCTATGCGGCTGACAGGGAACTCGGCGACCGCGGCGACAGTAGCAATAATTCCTAACGATTTTATCTCCGTGGAATTTCAGCCGAGACGCAAATGTCCCTCGTAAAGATGCGCGACGATGTCGCTTAGGACAATCTCGGGAACGACGGTCGGAGATTGTGGATATTTGCTCGATGTGTTTCATCGAGCCTCTAGACCGCAGCACGTCCGTCCCGCGGACTCCGTAAATTAACCGTTGCCTTAATCGCGTAAGATGGAATACACCGGGATGCGGGAGTGCGTTACGATCATAACTGGAAGCATTCACGATTAAATGTGCACCAGATGTCACGTATATGCCTTTATATTCATTTATCATTATTAACTCTCCCATGGACAAGCGAGATATTCTAAATATCCTAGTTTTTCGCATTTAACCTTGGTATTATCGTGTGTTCACGTTTATCATTTCTATCTTTATACACGGTGTCACTTCTATATCACAAAATTATAGTGTAATTTTACTTCATAATTTTTTGCTGTTCGACTGGATTTTGTCCGAGAGGAGAAAATCGAAAAACTAAGTTTACGTGTAGCACCTGACGAAAATTTATTTACAGGATTCAGGGAAAACTGTAGCAAATAAATCATTGCCTAATTTGCCAAACGAAATGACGAGATAATCGGTGGTAATAAAAGTAAAATTTTAAAATCCAAGTTCTATTTAGTATGGTTTCCATTCTTAAAATATTATTTTATTATTTAGTTTCGTGTATAAAGAGGATTATAAATTTATAATAGATTTGTTATTATCTTTGGAATATTAAGAACCAGATTATAAAAAATAGATTATAGAAAATAGATTATAGAAAAACAATACGATATCGCATATATATATGGGACGATTAGAAATACGGCCAATGGCAGAAATTTTAGAGTTCGGCTACGGAAGGATCAAAATACAATTTATCCAGCTCACGATGCTTAAATTAATTTATGCGCGAAAGGGATATAAATGATTTCATTAATAAAAATTACTTTTATTACGCAAAACAGAGCAAATAGAAGCGCAAGAATTGGCTGCTCTTAAATCAAACTTTTCTTTCTTCTCAACTGCGATATTTCTCCGATTTTAATCAAACTCAGGGAAAACGGTCCTTATTTCAAGAGGGACATTTCCGTGATTCCTTTACCACCGTCTCTCTCACAATAAGTACACATAAATGGTGATTATTATTATCTTTTTCATTATAAACGAAACCGTGAACCGTCGACATGCCTTTTACGCCCACTTATTTCGCTCTCCGCTGCCCGTATTAACGAACACCGTTCGGTTTGCTCGATTTCTGCCGAAGGCCTGGAGATAAACACGGCGTACACACACCTTGAGCCCGAAACGTTCCGAATCTGCCACCGCCCTTGACACTCCGCCACAGGTCCCGAGCACGACGGAGGAATCTCCATCGGCGTGTATGCGCGCGCGTGTTTACCCTGCGGCCACGCTCTGGCTGCGCCTCCTTCAACTACTCTCTCTTTCTCTCTCGTCTACTATTTGAACGAGTCGATAAAGCCGCCGTCGAACTATTTATCGTACGCGGAACAAGAGCGGGGAACGGCGCGCTCGTCGAGGGCAAACAATCGCGCATGATGTGCCGGCATTACCGGAGAGTCGCGCTTTTTTCCTTTCCCTCCGTAAACCTCCCCGCTCGATACACTTTCCTCGTTCTTCCGTTCTCTCTCTCTCCCTCTCTCTCTTTCTCTCTTTCTTCGCATTTTGCCCTTCTGTCGCGCGCGCGTGACCTCGCGCGTGCCGATAACGTTCTTCGCGCGTCGCTCGTCAAAACGAGACCGCGTCTCGCTTATCTCGCCAACGAGAGAGTCCGATTGTTTGGAAGTCGTAAAACCCCGTCCGGGGAGAAAATCGAACGGGTTGGTTTCCACGAATCACAAAATCCTTGACGAGACGATGAGTTACTCATCGACGAGGGCGTTCGCCGCGCGCGCCGACGATTGGACTCGTTCGTCGAGGACCACGTGGGGAAGCGCGTGATTCAGCGAGGTGTACGCACATGACAATATGAAACATGTCGTCGTTGCGCTACACCTTTGCTTGTCCAACGGAGAACCGAGACGGAACGGAGAAGACGAGCGCCGAGACTTTGTGTGTGTGTATGCGTGTGTGTGTGTGTATTTGGTAGAAAATATCTTTCTCTCTCGTAACATCCGCGACGCCGCTTTTTTACGCGCGTTTTCTCTCGCTCGCTCAACGAGTTGACGATTGTCTCTCGTCTCTCTTTCGGTTTCGCACCACCTCTCTCTTTCTCTCTCTCTCTCTCTCTCTCTCATATATTGTCAAACGGAACGACACCCTGTCGGTCTCGTTAATCTTCGGAACCGACGACGTCTCGCACGGAGAACAATGTGACCGCGGTGTAACCTACTCCGTCACGGTAGTCTTGGATTGTGACAAATAATATCTGGAACAGATCGAATTTAGGGCGGAGGGTAGACGACGGCGGAAGGATCCACCGTGATAATGGGGTGTAACGGCGTAAATCTTCCGAATGCTGCGAGAACCCTCTTTCGTTCGCGCAGCTTACCCCTCTTCTCCGTCGCCTTCGTTCTCTCGCTTCCGCCCGGCGTCGTCGAGATTAGAAAAAAATCGTCGCCCTGGTCCTCTTCTACTCTCTCTTTTCCCGCTTTCTACCACGGTCTCGCACAGCCTCGATCCATCTATTCTCTCTCTCCGTGCTCTGTCGCTGTCCGCTACCACGAAGGAGGAAACAGAAATAACGGAATGCCATAGTCGTGACGGAAAAGATTTGTGACGAATTTCGAGCTCGTAGCCGAGCTCGATTCGTCGCGGACGATCAGCCGGCCGTCATCGTCGGCTGTGTCGAGCCGGCCACCTCTCGCACGAGTTTGAATCATTTAACGTCTTGTTCGATTTGTCGGATTTCTCGTCATCTTCACGCACGCGTTCCAATCGGCCTAGAAAAGCCTCCCACCGACTTTTCACTGATCGGTCGCCTCAGGAACTTGGATTCGAGTTGCGAGGGATTGACGGAATCAGCCGTGAATTCGCTTACAAAGCTCGGTATATAACTGAAAAGTGAATTCACTTGGATCTACCTGACAAGCCGAGTCGGAATTTTAGTTCAACATTAACTCTTTTGATGCCACAAGTTGGGATGTTAGTGCTGTTTTCTGCACTTGAAGACTTAATGTAGGACTAAAATGTTGACTCGAGAATGAACAACCGAACCCGTTTTGGTTGAAGGAAAGTTTCTGCTTGTAGGAACCGAATTTGTCTCATGAGAAAATGAATGTAAATTAATATAAAATAGAAATGTTGTCTCTTTCAACTAATACACGTTTATTTGTCCATTGTCGGGTAGATCTAACCAAACACAGTTCTCGGTGTGTTTTTTTTTTAACTTACTTTATTGACCATTAAACTAGAACTAGAAATTTTGTTTTCTTCAACCGGAACGTGTTTGGTTGTCCATTATCGATTAGATCCAACTCGGCTCATTTTTCAACGTAAACGTACTATATTCGTTAACTTACTTTATTAATTATTGAATTATTCTTTCACAAAGAATGCGCGCCACGCGCGCAGCAAAATAAACCCAGCTTATCGTCTGTTATTGCAAGCGTGAAGACTCGCGAGCACGAATTATACTTTAACTGAACGAGACGCTTGAGAATGAGGAAAATTTCAAGCTCGCCTCGAAAAGATGCAGCGCGATATGATATCTGCCTCTCTAATGGGACCATGTAACATTGTCTTGACACGGTGCGAGCTCGCAATTTACGAAATCGCCTCGTCCGTTCTTCCCTTCGTGATATCTTCACCGGCACAAAAGGAGCCGGCAGGCACCTGCGTCTTATGCAGATAAGGTCGAGGTGCTTCGGGTCAGCCCACTCAGGGTTAAGGTCACGTACCGTCTCCCGCCTGTCTCTCTTCCTCCCTCTGTCGTGCTCCTCGTCGCACCCGCGATCTTCGCCACTCCCGTTCTCCCTCGCCACCTTCCACCTGCGAGGACCTCTCGCGCGCAGGTAGTCTCCTGCGGAGGATTGAGACGTTGCCTGACGTCACCGCTCACCTCCCACGCGACTAACCACCGTGAAAGTTTTGTCTGTACCGCCGGCGAGCATCGGAAATATTGATATCCGTGTTCCTCTCTACTCAAGTTGAAATTTTCGTCCTATATTAAGTCTATTTAGCTCTACGTTGTCTTTGAGTGGAGAAACGGGAGTAACTTTCCATTGGTAGCATTGAAGGAATACTGACAGTGCTTCTTTGATGTTATAGAAAGAATTTAGGCTTCCCGAGGGGAAATTTTTAATTCTATATTAAGTCTTCAAGTGAAGAAAAATAGTAGTAACTGCTTATACCATCAATACCTTTAAAGGCTTAATGTGGATTCAAGTAGATTTAATGTGGAACGAAAATTTCGATTCTCGAGTAGTCGAAAGGAATTTCATGAGAATTCGCGACTGCTGAAAATCGATCTCACAGAGATCGTGATCGGAAGGAAGAGGGATTATTTTCAAGCGTCAAACAACGCCGAGGGAGATTGGCAATTTCGAGCGCCCGTTAATACGATTGGGCGACAGAGGCGGTGTTCACAGTGACCGATTTCGGCGAAACGACACTTTGATCCGCGCGTTTCCGCTTTTCCTCCCGAGCAGGGATTCGGCTTTCAGCACGACGTGCGTCATAAATTTCCCATGATTTCTTTGCAGGATGTCGAGAGACCGCCTTCATCTACGCCGTCACGAGCGCGGCTGTGACTCACAGCATCGCGAGGGCATGTAGCGAGGGCAGCATACAGTCGTGTTCCTGCGACTATACTCACCAATCACGCTTATCATCCGCCACCGTTCGGGACTGGGAATGGGGCGGTTGCTCGGACAACATCGGGTACGGCTTCAAGTTCTCTCGCGAATTCGTCGATACCGGCGAACGGGGTCGGAATCTGCGCGAGAAGATGAATCTGCACAACAATGAGGCTGGTAGAGCGGTAAGCGCGTTTTTCTCTCCGATTTTTGACACTCGTCTTTGCGTGTCTTTCTTTTTTGTGTAAAGAAACAAAATAGAAGCGTACGTGTCACTTTCTCTTCATATTCTCTAATATATTTTCTATTTATCCTTTATTTATTTCTATTTTCCTCTATGTATTTCTATTTTTTTGTTTATTTATATTCTTCATTTTCTTCCCATTTCCATTTATTTCCATCGATTCCGTCGTAAAGTCGCTATCGTTTTACAAAAAAGCATTGCCCAGCTAATATCGTAATTCGCGTAAATTTGCCAAACTGACTGTTGAAATGCGAGACCGACCGATCGAGACGCGATCACCCGAATAAGATCGCCGATACAAAGTGGACGTAAAAGAGTCTTACGAAGACCACCGAGGAGAGAAGATTACCGGGCGCCGTCTGTTCTTCGTTACAGCACGTATCCTCGGAGATGCGGCAGGAGTGCAAGTGTCACGGCATGTCGGGCTCGTGCACGGTGAAGACCTGCTGGATGCGGCTGCCGAATTTCCGAATGGTCGGCGACACTCTGAAGGACCGCTTCGACGGCGCCTCTCGGGTGATGGTCAGCAACTCGGACCGTACGCGCGGCAACAGCAACAGCATCGGCAACTCCGCGAGCAACTCAGTCCACGACCACCGCGAGGGTCCGTTGCGCCGGCATCGCTACAACTTCCAGCTGAAGCCGTACAACCCGGAGCACAAGCCGCCGGGGCCGAAGGACCTGGTCTACCTGGAGCCGTCGCCGCCGTTCTGCGAGAAGAACCCGAAACTCGGCATCCTGGGCACCCACGGGCGGGCCTGCAACGACACCAGCATCGGCGTCGACGGCTGCGACCTCATGTGCTGCGGCAGGGGCTACGAGACGAAGGAGATCATGGCGGTCGAGAGGTGCGCCTGCACCTTCCACTGGTGCTGCGAGGTCAAGTGCCAAGTGTGTAGGACGAAAAAGATTATACACACATGCCTGTAGAGGGATTCAAACTCGGCTGGTCCCGCGAGCCTCGTGGGTGACGCGAGGTCGCAGAGGAGAAACTGAGCATGCGAACTCGCGCTTTCCGTGAGAGAGAGAAAGAGATCTCTCCGACGGTGTAACGACGCGCGAAGGTCGAAGGATCCTGCTCTAAGGACGAGACTATATCTTCACTTCAGAATCGAAAGACGCTGGCAGTCTCCTTTTCTCTCTTTCTCTGTCTCTTAATCGCGCGTGTTCGCGAACGACCGGCGGTCTCGACCGACGCGAGAGGATCCTCTACCGCGCGACTCGCCCGACATGGCCGAGAAGCCCCGGAGACCCGCGCAGGAGCGCGCGCGGCCTCCTCGTCTCTCCAGTATTACGCGAAACGAACGAAGACAAAGGAGAAATCACGTATATTTATTACGTCGCGTCGCGCGCGCGCGTACTAAAGACTGAGGCGCTGGGAGAAGCGTTCGCGCGATCGTGTAGCGTTCTTAAGGCTTTTCTTTATTAAGGCAGACCGGAAGAACCGTCGGAAGGAGCGCGTGGAAGCGATGTAAATATGACCGGCTCGCAGACTCCTCCTTCGACGACGAGGGTCCCACTGGTCTCCGTCGGCCCGTGAAGCTGTGACGTGTAGTAGGAGGAAATGATTTCAGGCTACTACCGTTCGCCGGTCGCGCAAAACTACCTGTCTCATTCGCTCTCACCGGGCGAAATTCGGCGAGACCCGGTGGAGCCGGGCTCAATGAAATACTCAAGTACGATTCGTCGGCGCTGAAAAGGTAAACGGTCACGGTTCCGTTCTTCTACCGAACGGTCGTCTAGGTGTTTTATCCGCTTCTCCTGTTTTTACGAGAGACTCTACGTCGAGATGAAACGATATTGTTAAATAGGCCGAGAGCGACGAGGCCTTCGATTATTTTATTTTCGCTGCATACGAGACATTCGTTCTAGGTAATGTTCGGTGGCAACGCGAGCATCGTGATCTGGCATCTCGTTGTCTCGTAATCGTTATTTATTCGAAAAGGTTTCCGGCGCTTCTGGCACTCGTCTTCCCGCGAAGACGGGGGCACAATACCCGATTCCGATCGCGTGCTTGTACATACGTAGATGATAATTATATATATTTCGCAGAGCTACGCGAGCCGATCGGCGATTCCGCAATTCATCTAATAAAGGTCTATTGTAAATATGTCTATTATAACTGTCGACCCTTCACGCGACGGTAACGACGCCCGGTGGCACCGAGTGTGGTAAATTATTTTTATATCTATCTCGTGATTCTCTTCTCCCCCTTTCCCCTTCGCCCTTCCCTCATTTCCCCTCTAAATGTGAAAGCGCGGACGTAGGAGAAAAATAAATAAATAAAGAAGAAAAGTATCTTTTATAAGTGCCGTAAGTAGTGGAGCCTATTTCTCGGATGAGAGAACGGTGATTCTAGCATTGTGCATAATAGATGTATTAATTATTGCTCGTAATTTATGCAAATAAACGTATGAGAGAATTCAATAAACAGCACAAGAAATCGAGAAATCCCCGCTGGCATCTTCCCCGTATCTCCTAAGTCACGCTTAGAAGAAACTGGTGAAAAGGTAATTATCCTTGATGAAGATGACGACAATTTGTACGTCATGCGGCGCGCTAAACATCGATGACGCGTGAAGCTACTTAATATCGAATACTTATTAGCAATATGCAAACGAGGGGCAACGCTAATGAGTATTGTAAGAAACAAGACGAGAAATCCACGGCTCGTCGAACGCGGCGGGTCTCGGCGGCTTCGCCGTGTTCCGTCAGCGCGCGCTCTGCTCCGCTGCGTGGCGGAGCGGAGAAGAAACAGTTCCCGAGTCGCATTTGGAGGAGCGACAAGCTGACTCGTTCGCGAGATCGGGGGGGAAAGAGAGAGAGAGCAAGGACGCGTTCTCGCAGAGACGAGAGGTCTCCGCTAGGACGGTTCCTCGATCGCGGATCTCCGAGATCTACGAGCCAGTCCGCGATCCTCGGCCCTACCCCCACGCGCGCGCGCTGCGCCGTGTGTCGCAGGACTATTCAATATTTTCCCATTACACGATGCGCGCCGCCGTCGACGTACTCCCGCGAAATATAGCCAACTGGTTCTCCAGCTGGACGACTTCATAACTCCTGCGCCGAGTGAATGTCGTGGGAGGCCCATGCCCCGAGGAGGACTGGTCCGGCTCTCCTCCTCCTCCACCGTGTCTGCTCTTCCTCCAAAGCTCCTCTCGCCCTTCCTCCTCCTCCCGCGCTCATCGCGTTCTTTCTTCCTGCATCTCTTCCACCGTTTCAGCGTCCAGCGAATGCTGCACGCGATGATAACGAACGCAGGAATCCCGCAGGAATCTCCGCGCGCGGGATAAAAGGACCCTGACCGCATACGAACAGGCATCCGCGCTAATGGTACCAACACTCCACCGCCGACCTACCGGCTTTCTTTCCCCACCCTCCCTCCTTTCACCTTTTTTTCCACGCTCCTTCCCCGGCCTTCCTTCTGCCGTCGCCGCCGCTGTTGCTGCCGGTGCTGCTGCTGCTTCCTCCTCCTGCCGAGTATCTACCGACGACGGACCACCGTCGTTCTTTCATCTCCCGCCCGTGTCCGCGGATGATAGGTATTTCTTGCAGATTTGTAAGCGGGTTCTGGATAGGTATCGGTCGATATTAACGGGCGCCATTCGTACGCGTTCTTCCTTTCGTTCCCGTTCAGATTCGTCATCGGGAGGACGGGGCGGGAGAAGAGGACGATCGATAGGGGTTCTCGAGTCGAAATTAAAGTCCTACATTAAGTCTACTTAGTTTTACATGAAGTCTTCGAGTGAAGGAATAACTTCTTATTTGTAGTATCGAAGGAGCACTAACAGAGCTTCTTGATCTTACAAGGGGAACTTAGACTTTCCGGGAGGAGATTTTAAATTCTACATTAAATCTTCGAAGGGAGGAGACGGGAATAACTTCTCATTTATAGCATCAAAGGAGTACAATAGAAGGTCTAATGAAGATCCAATGTAGAACCAAGTAGGCTTAATGTAGAACGAAAATTCCGATTCAGGTTATATCGGCAGAGTTATCGAGTGAATTCGGACCAATCTTTATTTTCGCTTCGCAAAAAGAGTCACTTCTAGATTACACAATAGCGATTTGCTTGGGGGAACATATTCGACTATCTGATCATGATGCAGCAATTTGCGTCAGATTGACTGGCAGAGTTATGATTTTACTTCAACGTCGAGCGTTACAAATTAATCGTGCTTGTGTATCGTGAATCAGCTAAAGAGTGACAGCTATTTTTTCATCGACGTCAAACAACATTGCACGATTTTAGCATCACCACTATCCCCAAGCCGTGACATTCCCGAATAATCAATCCCGAATGAATTGGCCGAAAGAAATTGGAATTACGCCTCTTATTATTGTGCAATCTCAATCAAGTTCCGTCGTCGAAATCTCGATGATCCGCCGAAGTGAAAATCTATTCCCGGCGACGCTGTGGTTCGAAGGGATGGTTTACCGTGATAGTAAAACAAATTCCTGCCATGAGAGAAAAAGAGAGAGAGAGAGAGAGAGAGAGAGACTGCCAACGTTCCGGCAGACAAGAATCTCGGGCAGTCGGACCACTTCTCACGGCGGTCCCTTTGATCTTACCTGACCCACCCACCCCCTCGGTCCCCCACCTCAG